CATCAGAATACACTGATCAGCGCTGCAGGTCATAGCCTGAAGAACTGATCGAGCAGCAAAAATCTAGCAGGGCAGCTGTACAGAAAATGATCCCACAGGTTGGCTTCTGTACAACCAGCCTGCCCATACATGGATTACAATTTGGCTGATCCTTGCTAAACAGGCTGAATTTCAATCCATGTATGGCCGGTGTAAGCCTATAAAAATTGCTGCTTTTACCAGCTAATCTCTGATGGATAGACAGTATCTTTCTTCAAACAATATACTACTGCTACAATTATTGCTCAACATGATATACTAACTAGTATGTGATTCATAAAAACTAAACTTCAGCTAGCAATAAAAAACATTATTAAATACAGTTGTGTACAGCCGTACCTCGGTTTACGAATTGAATTTGGTCTGCGCGACTTTTCGGATTGCAAAAAAATCGTAAACCAAAACGCGGTTTCCCATAGGAATGCATTGAAAACAAATTAATCGGCTCCGGAGGTCAGAAAAAAGTAGAAAAAAAGTCCTTTATCTGTTCAAAACTCTTTACAAAGTGCACTTTAACTACTTGCTGACCGCAGATAGCCGAATGACGGCTGCACTGCGGCCAGCCAGTTCTGGGTGGACGTCATATGATCCTACGGACACAGCTGATCACGTGATGTGGTAAAAGGCCAATCACAGCAGCCATTTACCACGTGATCAGCCATGTCCAATGACACACTGATCACCGGGAAACGCAAATGCCGGTTCTCGGCTGCACTTTCCTCACGCTGTCAGATCGTGAGGAAAGTACTGCCGAAAACCAGCAGTTGTCAGAGCGGGGATCGGCACCGATCAGGGGGGTCACTGATCATCAGTGCCCTGATGATTGGTGCACAGCAGTGCCACACACAAGTTCCGCCCACCTGTGCCCAGCAGTGCGCCCATCTGTGCCCAGCAATGCACCCACCTGTGCCCAGCAGTGCGCCCACCTGTGCCACCCAGCAGTGTCACCACCTGTGCCCAGAAGTGCCACCCACCTGTGCCCACCAGTGCTACCCACCTGTGCCCACCAGTGCCACCCACCAGTGCCCATCAGTGCAGCCCAGCAGCGCTGCCAGTCAGTGCCACCAGTCAGTGCCCAGCAGTTGTGCCAGTCAGTGCCCAGCAGTACCGCCAGTCAGTGCCCAGCAGTGATGTCAGTCAGTGCCACCTATCAGTGCTGTCTATCAGTATCAATTATCAGTGTCGCCTATCAGTGCCACCAATCAGTGCCGCATATCAGTGCCACCTATCCGTGACACCTCATTAGCGCCGCCTATCAGTGCCGCCTATCCGTGCCACCTCATTAGTGCCGCCTATCAGTGCCGCCTATCAGTGCCCTTCAGTGCTGCCTATCAGTGCCCATCAGTGCCGCCTATCAGTGCCCATCAGTGCTGCCTCATCAACGTACATCAGTGAAGGAGAAAAATTACCTGTTTGAAAAATTTTATAATAGTAAAAAAGAAACTTTTTTTTTTCAAATTTTTTTGCACTTTTTTTGCTTATAGCACAAAAAGTAAAGTGCCCAGCAGTGATTAAATACCACCAAAAGAAAGCTCTATTTGTGAGAAAAAAAAGATAAAAATTTCATATGGGTGCAATCTTGCATGACCACGCAATTGTCAATCAAAGTGCGACAGCGCTGAAAGCTGAAAATTGGCCTGGTAAATAAGGGGGTATAAGTGCCCGGTAGGCAAGTGGTTAAAATACTGTACAGGGACATAATTAATAAAAATTTGTAAATGCATTGAAAACCAATTAATCAATTTGTATTGTGAAAAAAATTTATAAAACGAGTCAATATTTTCAATGGATTTTCATTCGTAAACCAAAAATGACGTTAACCGAGGCGTTCGTAAACCTCACCTGTATTTCATAGTTAAATTGTACTTAATCTGTCTTGATATTGTCTTGTCTTGCTTTGCATGGCAACAATCAATCTGGGAGAGAAATTGACATTAGTGGTCAGACCCTGCTGCACTAACAACTGAAAATTTCTGTGAAAAAAATAAATAAATAAGGGCCCATTGACATTCTGGTCTGTTGTGTTAACAGAGACGTATGTTTTTTACAGGTTAACATGCATTGAATTAAGGAAGTCCATTCAAATGAATGCGCTGGCAACATACAGCCTGAAAAAACAGATATGCCATTTTATGTAACGCAGTCACCACACCGCACATTAGTGCATTACTGTGTGTTTCAGTGTATGGGAGTTCATTTATCTTGGCAAATGCCAAAATTGTACACTGAGCTGTGCGTGTGCATCTCACTGTACAGTGCAGAGAGGCAGGTAGGAGAATTCAAAGCAGAAAACACTTAGAATGAATTCTCAGCTCCTTGCAAGACCTCCTGCTCTCTAGCTCCTTTGTCTCCTCCTCCCATGCTCATCTCCAGGACTTTTCCAGAGCTTCCCCCATCCTCTGGACCTCTCTACCCCAATTTATCAGACTATCGCCTACTCTGCTCACTTTTAGGCAATCTCTGAAAATCTATCTTTTCAGGGAAGCCTATCCTGCCCTCAGTTAATAATGGAATCTTCTACTCTTCCAACCAGTCCATCCCCCACAGTTACTACCTTTTGTACCACTATCCCCTCCCTCCTAGATTGTAAGCTCCAAGGAGCAGGGCCCTCCTATCCCTCTTGTATTGAACTGTATTGTTGCTGTATTGTCTCCCGTTATATTGTAAAGCGCTGAGCAAACTGTTGGCTCTATATAAATCCTGTATAATAATAATAATGCCTCTTTGGCTTTAACAATCCTGCCTGTTCGTCCTTTTTTTTAACTAAAGTTCCACTTTAAACGCATTCACAGCATTAAAGTGTTTCTAAAGCCTCAAGGTTTTTTACCCTAATGCACTCTATGCATTAAGGTAAAAAACCTTCTTCACTGCAGGATCCCCCCAGCCCCCCATATTCTTACTTTAGCCCGATCCAATCCAGAGATGTGCACGATAGCAGCGGCTATCAGCACGGTCTCCCTCTTCATTGGGTAGATTGATAACAGTGGGAGCCATGTGTCCCTGTGCCTTTTAGGAGGAGTAGGCTCCCTTCAGAAAAACCTGCCCTTTTTTTAGCCACTGCTATATATGCTCCAACTTGGAGACTCTCATATATAGAGTTAGGACTGCATTATACAGAGGAGCCTTGATGATGGGAGCCATTGGCTCCTGTCAATCAACTCCAGTGACAAGGGAGTGGGGGCGGGGGTCAAGTCCTACTGTCTGTGTCAATGGATGCAGCAGCAATTCTCAGGAATGAGCACACGAGTGCCCCTGTGGGAAGCGGCTTCCCGTGGGGGCACTGGACATGGAGGAGGAGCCTGGAGCGCCAACGAGGGTCTTGAGAATAGGAGGTTTGAGGAAGCTCTGTGCAATGCCATTGCACAGAGCAGGTAAGTATAGAGATATTTGTCTTTTTTTCCCCTTATAATCTCTTTAAGGTAAACAAAACACCCCAGTACAGTTACAACTCCCCCCATGCCCAAACACTTACATGCTTACCTGCCTCTTACCACCTCCATGAACCAGTGGCTAAAGCAGATACCCGCAATTAGGAGTGGGGGACAACAGTTCAGGGATGACCAAGAGAAAAACAAGGGAAATTTTAAAGGAAGCTGATTTTACATATTGAGTAAATCTGAACTTCCTTAACTCAAATTGAAAAAATAGTGTTTAGGTTTAGTATCGCCGAAGAAGAACCAATATCCTTGCTGCATCTGTCCAAAAAGTAACAAACTGAGAGTGTGATAAAATGCCTGAGTGTGTTCTTTAGGTGATTTCATACTCCATAAGGGCATCTGTAATTGCAGACTAGAGGTGTTCTGGCACAAAGTGCTAGTTAGCGGTGAATAAATGTCGAGTGATTCCCCATCTAACAGTGAGATGCCACTAACACCTCTAACTAGAATTAAATGAGCAGACATCTGCTTGGAAGTCCCCACCATACTTGTCATAGACACGAGCTGCTATGTAAACTGTAAAGCCGGCTTTGTAATAAATAAAACCCATAAAATACTGTGAATAGCATGGTAAGTTCTTAAGAAATCATAAACAAGGAATATACACCAATTTAAATAAGCTCTGCTGTCTCTGCGGTTAATGCCTGGAAGCAGGAAAAAGATGCTATCTTAATGTAGACCTTCACCTGGAACCTCAATAAAAAAAAACCCAAAACCGCTCCAATCTAAACCTTGTGAAATAGCATTTCAGAAAAGACATCATTTCTGTCATATGCAGGCTGCAGTTGCATTCATTACCTTTTTGTCTTTTCCTTTTGTGCTCATATCTCAGCATCTATTTTAACTAAATAAAACAATAAAATAATTTAAATTCTGTCTCAATTAGCTTCCTGGACTAGTTTACCGCCCCCCCCCCCCCCAAAGATGCGCAGTAAGATTCTGCACCTGGACACTCAGCACTCACATACATAATACACAGATCTATCAATTAATTAATAGAATGTTTTGGGATTTCATTAACGCATAGCTCGTTATCTGCCTTCATGACAGTATAGGGGAGATTAAAACTCATGCATATAGAATCTGGTGCAGCTGTACATGGTAACCAATCAGCTTCCAGGTTTATTGTCAAAGTGTAACCCTAGGATCACACCTAAGCGGTTTCTGCAGTGTTTTGCGTTTTGCAGAAACGCGGTGCAGTCCATTTAACATGATTTCCTATGGGACATGTTCATGTTCACTCATGTGCGTTTTTTGGGAGGGGTTAGAGACTTCTTTGAACGCAACAAGTTGCGTTTTTGGTTCTATAGACTTCAATAGAAATGCTGCAGAAAAGCCTGTATTACATTTTGCTGCATTTTTGCCACATTTTTTATAAATTTTGATGCGTTTTCCTTTTTAAATCTGCCTAGCAACAAGAAAAAAAAAAAAACAAAACAGCAAAACGCTTCAAAAACTCATCACAAATGCAGGTGCAGAAACGCAAAACGCAATGCAGAAACGAGTCAATCGCAACTTTCATAGGTGTGAACCTAGCCTTACTTAACAAGCTGAAGCTAGAAGCTGATTGGTTATTATATACAGTACAGCTGCACAAGTATTTGTTTGCACCAGTTTTAGTAAATCTCTCCCTAGATGTCATCTGAGAGGGGTGGGAACTTCCTCAGGATCTTGTAAGATTTCCTGTACAGATGAGATCTCCAGGGAAGGCACTGGCAGGGGCGGACTGACAACTCAAGGGGCCCCTGGGCAATAGGAGATCATGGGGCCCCTGTGTTCTTGCCCAAACTAAAAAAAGGCTATGAAAAAGGTACCAGGGGCATCTCATGGAGCCCCCTACTGACCCCGGGCCCTCGGGCAGTGCCCGAGTTTCCAAATGGTCAGTCCGCCCCTGGGCACTGGTGATGTAGCCTTCCTAGGAGGCACCTGGGGGACCAGTGCTATATCACTTGTTCCTCAACCAGGAAACGGGAATCAATTTATGTATATAACTAAATAAATTTTTGATTTGTAGATGTTGTAGGACATGCAGGCACCATAAATACCTCCATTCACACATATTTGGTGTGTCATGTTTAGGGCAGTTTGTTCATTTTAGTGTGCCGCCCTACACATGACAATTGCACAAAAAAAGTGCTGACACTATTTTTAATACCTGTTAATCTATTTAGCTTCTTAGAGCGCAGCTCCAAGAGCTCATCCGACTTGCTCCGGTGGCCCACTACTCTCCGCATCTGAAATACCCATCCTAGTCTACTATGGAAAGTGTAACTCAGAGACGCCGCACTGCTAAGCAGCCTGTGTACTGAATCAGTTCATGAAAAGCGGCATTAGTCTAGAATCCTCCCAGACCAGGCCCCCTAACATATTTTGCCCCGGCACTGGCCGGGCAAAACACATCAGTGGGTGTGTCCTTCAAGGACCCTAGGCTGAGGACGTTTTTCATACAATGATCCCGTGGCTGTGGCCTGGGAAGACCCTAGGCTGAGGACGTTTTTCAATCAATGATCCGGTACACAGGATGCTTAGAAGTGCAGTGTTATACCTTTGTATATAGATCACAGGATTTAGTGCACATGCATTGCATTCTGTTTGGGGATGCCGTTAAGAATGAATGGCACTGCAGCACACCGGACAGGACATAATGTGTTTTCATTTGCTGTGGGAATGAGTACAATATACGTGTGAACGGTGCCTTAAAGGCCTAAAGAGAATGTGTCAGCTCTATAGTAACCTGTGACATAAGCAAATTTCAGTGAACAGTTTACTTGATGTCACTCATAATTCTCCACTTTGCCTAGGAATGAGCTCGATATTGATTTTAGGGGGACCCCACACCAAAATAAAATTTGTAAAAAATGGCGTGTGTCCCCCCTCACAATCCTAAAGGATTTTGGGTCTGGTATGGATCTAGGGAGGGACCCCACACAGTTGTTTTTTTTTTTTTAAATTTTGGCGTGGGGTTCCCCTTGATATCCATACCAGACCCCTCACCAAAATAAAATTTGTAAAAAATGGTATGTGTGTCCCCTCACAATCCTAAAGGATTTTGGGTCTGGTATGGATCTAGGGAGGGACCCCACACAGTTTTTTGTTTTTTTTTTAATTTTGGCGTGGGGTTCCCTTTGATATCCATACCAGACCCCTCACCAAAATAAAATTTGTAAAAAATGGTGTGTGTCCCCCCTCACAATCCTAAAGGATTTTGGGTCTGGTATGGATCTAGGGAGGGACCCCAAACAGTTGTTTGTTTTTTTTTTTATTTTGGCGTGGGGTTCCCTTTGATATCTATACCAGACCCCTCACCAAAATAAAAATTTGTAAAAAATGGCGTGTGTGTTCCCTCACAATCCTAAAGGATTTTGGGTCTGGTATGGATCTAGGGAGGGACCCCACACAGTTGTTTGTTTTTTTTAATTTTGGCGTGGGGTTCCCCTTGATATCCATACCAGACCCCTCACTGCATCTGAAAAAATACTGCATGTGATACCGCCAGCAAAACCTTGGTGATAAATATCGCATTTTTCTAGTTTCTGTTCTGTTTGTGAATTGGACTTAACAGCTTACCGCATATTTTTTACCAACACATTTTTAATGTTTGCGTAAAATACCATAGAATCATTTTTTTTTTGTGAATTGGACATTTTGTTACCGCATGTGATAATTTATGCAAATGAGTCACAAGACAGTGTTATCGCATTGGGGTAACCTTTAGTGAATTGACCCCTTTGTGTTCTCTTTAGTAAGACTGAGTCTGTAGTAACGGTGCAGTGTGCATTTCGACAGTGCTTCGGGGATTGATCCACCAGTGGCAAAGAACATTTGTCATTGGTATAAACAATATGAAGAATCGGGGTGGTTATGTATGTACGGGGAAGAGGCCAGGGTGACCACGCACTTCTGGTGAAAATGTGCAATGAATTCTAGAAGCTTTTCAGCAAACTGCATAAAACTGCTCGTTGTGCTAACAGAGAACTTTCGATCTCTCATGTGAATGTTTGGCGAATGTTAAAACGATATTTGCTTCTGAGGCCATACTGATTGCAACTGGTGCAAGCTCTTCATGTAAGTGACAGTAGAAAATGTTTAGATTTCTGTGATATGCTCTTAGACGACATGGAGGATGACAGATTTTTACCACGGTTGATTTTTAGTGATGAAGCAATGTTTCATCTAAGCAGTTAAGTTGTGCGTCACAATGTTCCCACATGGGAACTTGAGAAGCCACACAAACTTGTACAGCATGAGCAAGATTCACTAAAAATTAATGTGCTTTGTGGGATTTCATTTAAAAAGATTTATGCCCCTTTCTGTTTTGAGGGAAACACTGTTACGGGACATTGCTATCTTGAAATGCTGAAGGATTGGCTTTTCCCACAATTTAATGAAGACTCTAAAGATTTCATTTTTCAGCAAGACAGAGCACCGCCACATTGGCACAACCAAGTTTGTCGGTTTCTAAATTAAAAAATACCACAACGTTGGATAGGTCGCAAGGGACCCCAAGACTTGGCAGTACACTCTTGGCTGCCAAGATCTCCAGACATTACACCCTGTGACTTTTTCTTGTGATGATATAAAAAACAAGGTGTTTATGTTATACCATTACCCACTGACTTGGATGAGCTCAAAAACAGAATCACATCTGCAGTAACTTCAATTGAAGAAGACACTCTCAAAAGCATTGGGGAAAAATTAATCTTGAGGTTATCCGTGCAGAACATGGAGGGCACATAGAGCACTTATAACACGGTGAGTGAAAGTTGGATAGGTTGTATAGGACCCCAAGACTTGGCAGTACTCTCTTGGCTGCCAAGATCTCCAGACATTACACCCTGTGACTTTTTCTTGTGGGGATATGAAAAACAAGGTGTTTATTTTCCACCATTACCCACTGACTTGGATGGGCTCAAAAACAGAATCACATCTGCAGTAACTTCTGTGGAAGAAGCCACTCTCAAAATCATTGGGGACAAATTCTTCTTGAGATTATCTGTGCAGAACATGGAGGGCACATAGAGCACTTATAACATGGTGAGTGAAACTTAAGGACTTACTTAATAGTTTGTAATTTGTTATGTAACGTAACACATTTTAACTAGTAAATATAACTATTTGAAATTGGGTCATTCTTTTTGAAACACATTGTATAATAAATACAATTTTGTCCGTGCAACAAAGAAAAATAAATATCAAGCCAGCACACTTCTGTGTATGACCCACAAATGAACTAATAATATGACAAATCAGCTAATATTGTGCAGTGCTATAAAATATATTATGTGCAAATAAATGAAACTCTTACATGTAAGTGTCTTTAATCAGTAAAAAGCAATCTTCTAACGTGTGATAAATAAATTGAAGAGTGATCTTAGAGCAACATTCAAGTTCAACCTTCAAAAACAAAACAAAATCTTCTATTTGTGACCAAACGAGGCGTATGTAACACCACCACACACGTGTGTGTGATTCTGTTCACCTTGGTTTTTAAACTCCAAAACATATGATGTTAAAACAGCATCAGAAATATAAATATCAGCCAAAGTACTGACAATTCCGCCCTCAATGATAACAGGTAACGTCGCTCCAACTTTCTTGCTCCACAAGATCTGCTCCATTTCAATGGTAAGAGCCTCTTAAAACAATAAAGCCACATCTAGTGCTCTCCATAAAAACTTTTATTGCTCAAGAAATAGATACACATATTCACATAATAAAAACAACTTGGCAGCTGGAAAATAATATAAACCAGAGATTAAATCTGCTTCCCTCGTGATCCAATGAATGTTAGTTGATATTTTTGAAAAATTTTAACTTTTATGTCACTGTATGGTCACTCTTCACTTTATATATCACACAAAGAAACCTGGAAGATAGAAGTTTTTTACTAATTAGGTACCAGTTTACATCAGGAATTGCACAGGATCACGATTCCTGTGCGATCTGAGTGCAATGTTTTTTATCTCATTCATTTGAATGTGTGTATATTCACAGAAAGGTAATTTAGAACAAAGAAACTAATGCAGGCCATAGACGTGTCAAAAATCAGCCAATTTTTCAGGCGAAAAAAAAAAATTGGAGCGATCTTTGCACCGTTAATGGGTTAATTGGTCAGCCGTTTTCCGGATTTTGGCACATTTTTTTTTATCGGTAAAGTTGGAAAAAAATCGTCCGATATGCCGATCTGCCAATTTTCCCAGCAATGATGGGCAAATCGGCCGATCGTTTTACCGATAAAAAATCTACGCATGAGCCGTGACCTGCAAGAAGAGAAAAGAAGCAGAAGAAGAAGAAGAGGAAAAAGAAGAAGAATTCCAGTCCGCTATTATATTTGACATGAAAAGTATTGCGGCTGCAACAATGTATCTATTTGTATCCAAATAAAAACATCTGTATCCGAAATGGATACAAATAGATACATTGTTGCAACTGCAATACTTTTTCATGTTGAATATAATACCAGAGCTCGCTGCAAGGAACAGAAGTAATTAAATGCCGGCTGTAGACGGGACGAAAATCGGACGATTTTTTTAGCGTTGGTGGTAACGTCGGCCTATTG